GGATAAATGAAAACCTCGATCAATTAAATATTTATATATAATAATTTAATGCATATAATAATTATTGCAATAATGTATATAATAATTTAATTAAATGTATCTAATACGCCTTATTCATTTTGCACTTTTAGCCCGAATATTAAGCTTTATCTTTTCTGTCCTAAAATCCGCACAATTTCTGGTCCCAAGCTTTGCAGATTTCTGGAATTCTACTGTATTGCTTTACTGAAAAAATCTATGTGTTGGAATTTCTACGCAAAATTAAAATCTGTAATTCATTTTACAGATAACAAAAAGCTAAAGAAAATCTATGTGTCGGAATTTCACGCAAAATGAAATCTGTAATTCATTTTACAGATAACAAAAAGCTAAAGAAAATACGCATGACAGTGTTTAAAATTAGACCTTTGATGGATAAACTGAATGAAAATTTCCAGCAATAGGGAGTTTTTTAAACTCGCCTTTCCATCAACGAAATGATCGTACATTATTTTGGATATCATTGTTTAAAGCAAGTCATTCGTTAGAAACCAAAAAGATTTGGTTATAAATTATGGGCTATGCGTTCAAATCATGGATACTGCTATAAATTTAATCTCTATGGTGGAAAAGCCTCTTCAAAGGAAAATGATTAGCTTCCATTAGGATGCAAAGTTGTACTTGAAATGTTGGAAGTTATTGAGAACCCATCTAATCATGTCATATATTTTATAACTATTTTATTAGCTACGACCTATTAATTATGCTGAAAAATTCTGGAATGAGGGCTTGTGGTACTATCAGAGACAATAGAACTGCAAAATGCCCGATAAAATCCACAAAAGAAGTGGAAAAAGAAGCTAGGGGATTTTTTATGACTATTGATTCAACAAAGAGAATTAAATTATTATAGTTAGATGGAATGACAACAAAGCTGCAACCATAGGAATAAATTTTGAGAAAACAGATCCAATGGTTCAAGAGAAACGCTGATGTAGAGGAAAGTGGATTATTGAGTTTTGGCAAAGCACATGAGGTCTATCTGCCTAAAGAGAGGGATGCCTTCGTGGAGGACTTTCTAAGGAAAACTGGCTCGTATACACGTTACACATGGGGAGTAGAGGAAAGAAAGAAAAACTTTCAGTTCCACAACCATCTCTATTCCATTATTACACAATGTATATGGGAGGAGTAGATCACCATGACTGGTATGTAGAAAGACATTCAATATCAATTAGGGGCAAGAAATGGCACTGGTGTCTTTTCACTAGAATGATTGACATGGCTGTTGTAAATTCATATCTGTTGTACAAATTAAGTCAGGAAGATACTAAGAAAATTTCGATAAAAGAATTCTGCCAAAAAATTGCCGTCACCTATTTGAAAATGGGAGAAAGTATTAATTCCAAAATAGGTCACCCAATTGCTGTGTCGTTTCCAAAAAAACGTTCTGAAGATGTGCACTACGATAAAAGTAGACATTTTGTTAGTAAAAGAGATAAACAAAGAAGATGCCAAATGAAAGGTAATGGTAAACCTATTGTGAAAAATGCAGTGTAACATTATGCATCCCTTGCTTTCCTGTATATCATGCCAAATAGACAAGTTTATTATGAATATTTTTCATTAAATTTATGATTACTAGTCAAAATATATGTAGTTTATATTATTACTATGTGCTTTTACTATTATTCTACTTTCTTGAAAATTTTAATAATCCTGTATTTTCTTAGGTCCAACAACCAGCGTCCTCAAATGAGGAGGGGCACTAAGTTGAAAACTAAACGACAGAATAATTAAATTTCGCATTTAACTTACTTAGAATCATTTATAATCTAAGATATTTATAAGGCAATAAAATATTTCAACTAGAATTAATTTGGGTGTTAATCGGTTAAATAAAAATGCTTCACTTTTTTGCTAAGGGCCTTTGTGTACGGCTCCTGAATATAATGTCTAAATTAGAATTTATCTCTGTCAACATTCGTCATACAAGTGCCAAGGGAGCATATAAAAAATATATTTTTTAGTTGTCAGAAAATTGACTTAAAAATGCTAAATATGAATATCTCTGACTAATGGTTTTGAAAATAAAACATGTAATGACATTTCTGGACATAGTGTATATTTAAAGTAATCACAGAAAAAAATTATTCGACAAATGTGAATATCAGAACATTTTTACAATAGGAAGTATGCATACGACTAATGGATTTGAAAATAAAAGGCATATAATGACTTTTCTGGACACACTGTATATTTAAGAGTAATAATAGGGAAACATTATTTAAACAAATCAAAGTATTAATTTAGAAGTCAAAAAAAAAAAAAAAAAAATCAGCATTATATTTTCAAATTTTTATTTCTGTGAAAATTTGAAATATTCTGCTAGTTTTTTTTGTTTGACTTCTAAATTAATATTTGTTTGCTTTATTATTGCCTTTTCTTAATTAATCAATTATTGTCTACTTTTTTGCTGTGGTTTTTTTCTCCAATCTTTTCTTTTTATTTTCTGATTTTTTATGTGCATCTTTTGCATCTCATAAGTATGTTTATCAATCTGCTTACTGTGCAAAGGTTTTTGTATTCCATTTCTATCTCATTAAGTTTTAATTATTTAAGATTGTTTTTTAAATTTTTTTTTCTCTTTCTGTTCGAAGCAGAATTTATATTTATCACTACACTAATTTATTAACTGAATTCAATGCTTTTATAAACTTAATTAAATTTCTAGCCAAGTTATAAATTAAGCTTATGGAATTACTATACAAACCAAAGTCTCCCTGTACATTTAATTTCTGCTTCCTGATGACAAATTACACATGCAATTATTCTTTAGTTTCAGTTATTCTCTGTTATGATCATGCATTTTATTTTTGACTGTATTTGATAAATATGACAGAATTTTGAAAACCATGATTGAAAACCTGTTTACTGTATTAAATGTGATTTGTAAAAGATATAATGACATTATTAAGTGTAAAATTTAATTCAGTACTTAACATACAGATTCAGTTAAAAAATTCATCAGCAGTCTCAAATAACACGAGTAGAACTTCAAATTTTCACCATGCTTCATTGGATATTCTTATTTTAAATAGTCTGAAATAGCATAAATCCATAAAATACTTACTGCAGTTTAGTCTATTTACAAATAAAAACACAAAAGTTTTAACACATTACTGACTGGTAGCCTATTAATCAGCTTTTTATCGCCGAGGCCTACCGACATTAATCGGCTTTTCATCATTAACATCTACTGACAGATCGCCTATTAATCGGCTTTTTTTAGGCAATGCATGCCAAGCTTATTAATCGGCTTTTTTTGCCAATTTTATTTTTTTTTTTTTTTTTTCGCATGACATTGCTTTTTTCGGGGCAACAAAAAACGGCTACCAATCGGTAGATATGTGATAAACATTGTCTTTATATCTTGCCTTTTAATTATTATATTGAGGTTCATGCATGCGCAAACAATTTTTAAAAAATTGTCCACTCACTCACTTGCATTAAATGCGGTGTTTCGTAAACTCCCACTTTTTCAGACCATTTTTTTAAAAATTACCGTTCACAATGAGCGAAAAAATCGTACTGGAGAATTTTATTTAGATGATTTACCAGCTTGTCCTGACAAGTTATTTAGAACATGAAGAATCTGCGGCTGAGCGGCCGGTCAGATGTGCATATGCTGTTGAACCTCTAGCAGAGTAAATTAGATTATACCAGACAGCTAATTTCTCAAACACTGTGTTTCTCTATTCCCCTCTGGACTGATTAAATTAACTTTATCAAAGCAATAGTCAAGGCCATTCTCTCTTATTTAAATATAAGTTTAGAGGGGAATATAGAAACACAGTGTTTGAGAAATTATCTGTCTGTTCCCAGTTAATAGTATGTGAATAGAATTCCTAGTCCTATTAGAGCGATTCATTACAGGACTCTACACCCCTTTTCACTTTACAGGAAAAAAAAAAAAAAAACTGTTCTGCCCTCTGATGTGCAATTTCTTAAAATTGCTTAAATTATATTAAAAATCTCTTTTGAATGAATTAGACTCATCCTCCCTATTATATATATATCAAATCCTTATGAATCAAGTATATATGTTCCTAGTTGCATGACCTGTGGTCAGATACAACATTCTAATTTCTCATAGTTCAAAGCAATATTTTGCATAATACAGCTTGAATCATTCTGGTTGGAAAATTTCAAAACAAACTAAATTTTAATTTAGAAAAAGAATTAAAAAAATTACCACTAAAATCTAATTTTCATACATAAATGATCCCCTCTCCTTTATACAATTAAGTCTCTTTTTCTACAGTTTCAGTTAAGAAATAAGTATTTCAAAATTTTCTACCTATTCATCCTACTGTAAGTATCAGGACAAAAAATTCAGAAATTTCAGCACAATAAATACTGAAATCTTAATTTAATTGTAAGCAGTATTCAGTTATTATTAAATTGAAGAATTACTTAAAATTCCCTTTGGACTATGATATATACCCATGTAATGCAAAAATACTTAATATTACCTAGCTCAAGTATATATATGCAGGAAAAACATTACTTAACTTTAATGACACTTTCCAACAGTTTTATATGTTTTCATTAAAAATAATAAATGTGACAATGTTTCAATTTATATAACTTAATGTTATGGAAGCGATTCAATATGCAAGTAATTCAAAATATTTTCCCTCCTTTTGGTAGATCTAACCAAAAAATAAAACATTTCAAGAATTAAAAGCACAGCTCTTACTAAAATATTAACCATACAGTTTGCCATTATTATTTTACACACGTATAGGAATCTTCTCAAGCAATTATAAACACCTGTGATGCAGGTAAAATCAGAATACTTAAATCTTAATTTTTATTGTGATATGCCTGGATATTTAAGTAGCAAAATGAAGCTCTACTCAGAAGAAAGAATAAAAAGGTATTTAAATCATTCAATAAGGCCTAAAAAAGCAGCTGTTTTCCAAAAATATATTACTATAATAAAAAAAAATTCTCACCATCAACACAATTTAATAATTCATCATTAGACCATATTCTTTCAGCAATCAATAAAGAAGTGTAATAAATAGCATGACGATGAGGTTGCTCAGCTCTAAAATTTTTTAGGCACCTACGGAGCTGCCAAAAAAAGTATCACTGTAGAATATAATACACTAAGGTATTGGTTTTATACACAAGACATGTAATGCATTAGTACTAATTCATACATATTAAAAGTAATACATATAATCACTGATCTATATTTTGGAAACTTACTTCTTCTTTCAGAATTTCAAATCGCTTTGGTTTAATTTCAAAATTTGTCAACCATTCAATAATCTTCTGAAGGAGAATATGCTGCTTATCATTATAACCTTTTATACAGAACTATAAAATTAGAGGGGAAAAAAAAAAAAAAAAAAAACTTAAATTTCACATAGTTGTTAAAATTATAAAGCACTGAATAAAAAATTACCATGCATCTATTCAAATTTATGAGCACATTTTTCTTTTTTTTCTGTTCTTGTATGATTATATCCTATAATTAGAGAAATCACCATCACAAAATTTAGCTTATAGAAGTAAAACACATAAATTGTGAATTTATTAAAAATTGATGCATTTTTTTAGTTCCATAGCTTTAAAAGAGGGATTTAAAGTTAAAAATAACCCCAAAAGAGGCATTCACTGCATTGGATCTGATTTTAATACGATGCCAGAAAAAGTTACACATGAAAAAAATTTAAAAAAAAAAAAAAACTTCACAAGTATACTAGATTAGACACTAGGCTGGATTGTATTATTTGCATTATAGTAAAGCACTTGATGGTTAACTAGGAAAGGGTGCCTTCATGGATGGATCATAATCATGTTACATCAGAGAAAATCTTGAAATATCCCATATGGTCACTGTAAAGCTCCTATATGCCAGGCTGAATTATCTGCCATTCGCGAGCCCAAGTGAGATGGCGGCTGCATAAGCAGATTGAGACACTAGGCTGTAATCACCAAGAATTTATGAGTAAAATAATAATTAAAAACTCTGATGCGATATAAGAATATTTCTTATTTTTCTGTATTGATTACAATAAATCAGGACTAAGGTTAAGCGAGAAAACAATTAAAAAACTGAATTTTAATCTAAATTTCGATGAATATCAAGGGGGAAAAAAAAAAAAAAGAAAAAGAAAAAGACAGCAGCAGCTCAGGCAATGAAACTGATATACATGCATACTGGAAAAAGAAAAGGGAAGGAGAGAACTTCGTAAATTAAATTTCACATATATTTTAAGATACATGTTAATCAGAAATTTCAAATTAAGTTTTTAATGCAGCTGAATGCAACACAGAACTACTGTTGTTATTTTCCCCCCTTGGCTTCAACAATTAGATGGAATATATCAGGTTTCAATGAAAGTTTCCCGCCACTGTGAATATCATCTGCGCCAACAGCTCAGGTTGGCGTGTTTAACCATATTTTGTCAAACAATTTTTGGCATTTGAAAGCAAGAGATTTGCTTAAAGAGGTTATCACATCTATCGACGGTCCCTGCTAGACGGGACTATTCTCAGAAACGAGATTCTGGTAGCACTGGTTTAAATGGGAGGACTCCTAAAAAAAAGAACTTGACTGGAAGCGAAGTCCCACCTAGCTACGGAAATGATGTACGGCTACGCGGGATTCTTTTAAACTTAACCAAAAATGTTTCGGCTGAAGCTCTGTCCCATGTAGAGATCAATCAATGAGACAAAAGTTCTGCTTCTGAAGGATCATGTGATCCCAGCCTGAGCAATAATTGATTACTGTTTGGCATTGAAGTCTTTGCAGTAAGTGAAAATGGTAACCTAGCTATGTGAGTTTCCTGGAAAATGTGAAGCTTCTGAGGATAGTCCCTTTCGACGTCAAGTCCTTCGCAGCTGAAACATAATGTGATTGGGACTTAAGAACAATGTTGTAATGTCTGATACCTCCCTCCCCCTGGTATTCGAGGAAAAATGTTGTACAACTCCCTCTGGCGATTGATTGCCACAGGGGAGAGTCAGTTAGGGTTTAGACAGCGTAGGAGGTGACTGCACGATTACTGCAGGCGTGCACTCATCGTATATCTTAATAGGACTACACGATAATATGCAGGCGTGTACTCTCCAAGTGACTTTAATTAAATGTTAATCTTATGTAAATATTTTGTAATCTAATTAATACCTCTTATATATATATATAAATAAAATAATGTGTGAGAAGAAAGAAGTCCCATTATTGGATTAACACCACGGATGACAGCCAACTAAAGAACCTTTCAAAAACAATCATCACATTGGTGTCAGAAGTGGGATCACTTTGTCGTCTTGGTGAGCGTCATCAAGAAGATAAGAGGTAGGCAATAATTTTATCTGACTTTTTGATTTCATCTCTTATTGCATGAAAGTAAGATAAAATGTTTGCTGTAAAAGGAATAAGAAAAGAAGATTTAATATTTGTCGCGGAAGAATTAGGTCAGGCTGTTCCTCCTAACTCAACAGTAGCTGATATAAGAAAACTTATTTTACGAAGTTCAGAATGTGAGAATGATCCAGAATTCGTTACAGAAATTTTAAGGAGCACGATCTCGGATAGGCTTAAACGTGAGGATCGAGCTCTGGAACTAGAGAAATTAAAATTAGTGCATGATAATCAATTAGAACTGGCTCGTATCCAAAGTAATACAAGTAGGAATTCCGATGTAGAAAGAAAGTTAACATTAGAAGATATGATTAAAAGTGTTCGGGCATTGACAATTCCCGTACCGCAACGTGCAGAAACCTGGAATTTATTCTTCACCTCTTTAGAAAAAGCTTTTGAAATTAAGAACATCCCTACCGAAATGAAAGTAGAAATATTACTTCATATATTGGGAGAAAAAGCAACGAATCTGTTAACCTATGTTAAAAGCGAAGAAATGCGTAATTACGAACGGGTGAAATCAATCGTTCTAAGGGAATTTGAACCAACGGCAGATGCATGCTTAGACAATTTCAAAAAAAGCTAAACGGTTCCGAAATGAAACCCATATACAGTTTGCCTCAAGATTAAGAGCGACATGGGATTACTATTGCAAATTAAGAAAAGTTGAAGATTTTGAAACTTTAAATGAATTAATTGTAGCAGACAAATTGATGGAATCACTAGATAGCGAAACAGCAGCCCATATAAAAATACGTCAAGGGAATAACTGGTTCACTTCAATAGATTTAGCTAAAGAAAGTGATCTCTATTTTACTTCGAAAGGAAGAATGCTTACACAGACAGTAATAGCGAGCAGCTGCAGCTATGTGTTTCCCGGTCAACAGTTTCCAATTACCAGCGCAGAGAGAATAATTCAAACCCAGGAGGGTAAGACCCCATAACCACTCCCAAACTAGAAGCAGCTGGAAGGGGAAAACTTTCTCTGATAAGCCACGGGGCCTTCGTACAAAGCAGTGCTATATTTGTGGCGACCAAACGCACTTAGCGCGGAACTGTCCTCAGAAGGCTAACCAAACAGAAAAAAAAATGTTTCGACCCAATGGGAGAACAATGACGTGGTAATTGCGAAGGTGATTTTGCGCAACTTCGGGAGTCGTCGTAAACAAGTAAACGCATCGGAAGTTATTCAGCCCCTGAGATTTATTACGGTAAACGTGAATGGAAGGGAGATTGAATGTATTGAAGATAGCGGAACCCAGATTACCATTTTAAGACCAGAAAATGTCCCTAATGTAAATGACGATTATGGAGTCATCACCTTGAGTTCAGCTTTCGGGGAAGAAATAAGAGCCAAGTTAATTAAGACTTTTATGTCGATAAATAAGGGTAGAAGCGGTACATTAACAACACCTATAGAAGTCGTTGTAGCGGTCACAGATAAACTGAAAGGAGCCAGGGTTAATTCCTACCAATGTACTAAAAATGATGGAGAAGGAATATGAAAACCTCTTAACTCCGTTAACATTTAGAGATTCAGAAAAATCAGACAAATGGATACTAGTCGAAAAAAGCCTAAACTCTGAGACAACAGATGATGGAAGTCAGTGCCAGAATCGAAATGTAATGGGAACACCTTCGTTAGAAAGTGAGAACGACAGACTCATAACGGCTAATATTAAGGTAAATAATGAAGAAATTAAAGAAACCAACGTTACAGGCAGAGAAATCGGAAAGGGGAAAAATTGAAAGAAGAACAGAGGGAATGTGACGATTTAGAGACTGTCAGGTCAAATCTAAAGAACGGGAAAGGAAATTTCCTTTTAATTGACGGTTTGATATATCATAATGACAAGGTTTTGGGTGAAAAGGTATCTCAACTGGTATTCCCCGCGGAAAGACGCTCGAAAGTTCTTCAATTAGCATACGAATCAGTCTTCGGTGCACACTTAGGAATTAAGAAGACCAAAGAGCGGATTCGATATAACTTTTATTGGCCTTCCATGGTTAAGGACATTGTGGAGTACTGTAAATCTTGTGAAAATTGTCAGCTGAGAAATCCGAAAAGAATACATGAGAGAGCACCCATAACCCCAGTGTGCAGACCGGATTTGCCATTCGAAGTCGTGAACATGGATATTATTGGTCCTTGATCCACCATCGGGTCGAGGACATAAATATGTTTTATGTGTGATCGATCAGCATACACGATGGCCAGAAGCTATACCTATAACTTCTTTGAATGCTAAGTCTACGGGTGAAGCACTATTGCAAATATTTTCTAGGACAGGAGTACCAAATATAGTAGCAAGCGATCAGGGAACTAATTTTACTTCGGCATTGACCCAGGAATTTCTTAGAAGAACTGGGGCATCCCCGAGATTTTCATGTCCAGGTCATGCAGCTAGCAATGGTTTAATAGAACGATGGTCCTTGGAATGTGTTACATCCTTAAGTCCTTAAGAATGTGTTACATCATGTAATACGAGAAGACCCCAGAGGATAGGACAAACAAATTCCATTTCTATTATTTGTTTATAGAGAGGTTCCAAACTGCACTACAGGACTGATGTGCGGTAGTCCTGCTGATTATAGGTGCCATCATTGTGTGGACTCTGTGTGACTTTAATTGACATTAATGGTGAACTAAGTGATTCACATCGGACTACGTGGACATTTTATGTGGTTCTATGTGACTTGAACTCTGTAAACTATATTGAAATAAGTGACTATTCAAAACTATGACAAAAACACATACCCCATATTGCTATATTTGTTATATTAAATAACCATATCTACATTTTATATTTTATAAAAATGAGATAAGATTTCTCATATGGTTATTGTGTTAAGTACATTTTAATTGAATTTTTAATACTTCATGCTTTGGTAGTTATGTTTATATATGTTATGCTGAGTTAGTGGTATGATATATTATTTGGTATGG